TGGCATGCATGGAAGCCCAGAATGGGACTGAGGCCTTGATTTGTGGAAAAACAGTGGGGCCTTGAAGACAGGGACCCTGGTTGTGGGTATCAGACCAGTTAAGTCCTTGAGCACTTGCAAATGTGACTGTTAGGGCTGGAGCGATAGTACAGCGGGTAGAGCATTTGCCTTGCATGCAGCCAACCCGGGTTCAATTCCCAGCATCCCATATGGTCCCCTGAGCACCGCCAGGAGTAATTCCTGAGTGCAGAGCCAGGAGTAACCCCTGCGAATCGCCGGGTGTGACCCAAAAAGAAAAAAACAATTAAAAAAAAGAAAGAAAGAAAATGTGACTGTAGAGCATTTGTAGGGAAAGAGGCTTTGATGCAGAGCAGCATTTGTCCTGCTGTTTTCCTATATAAGAGTGTTCCAGAGGGAGCAAGCGTATACAGAGGGTAGGATGCTTGCCTTGCACGTGACCTGATTGTCACCAGCACCACATACGGTTCCCCCAAGCACTGCCAGGAGTGATCCCTGAGCACAGAGCCAGGAGAAAAGAAAGTAAGAAAGAGGAGGAAGAGAGAGAGAGAGAGAGAGAGAGAGAGAGAGAGAGAGAGAGAAAGAAAGAAAGAAAGAAAGAAAGAAGAAAGAAAGAAAGAGGGAGAGAGAATGGGAGAGAGGGAGGGAGGGAAGCAGGGAGGAAGGAAGGAAGGGTGGGAGGGAGGGAGGGAGGGAGGGAGGGAGGGAGGGAAAGAGAGGGAGAAAGGGAGGAGGGAAGGAGGAAGGAAGGAGGAAGGAAGAAGGAAGGAAGGAAGGAAGGAAGGAAGGAAGGAAGGAAGGGAGGGAGGGAGGGAGGGAGGGAGGGAGGGAAGAGAGGGAGAAAGGGAGGAGGGAAGGAGGAAGGAAGGAGGAAGGAAGAAGGAAGGAAGGAAGGAAGGAAGGAAGGAAGGAAGGAAGGAAGGAAGGAAATTCCTCAAGACTATAGAGGCCCCCCCCCCCCGCCCAAATGAGTAAGCTAGAGATACTCCTGAGTAAGCAAGTTAGGGAAGCCTCCTTGAGAGAACAGACACTGTGGGGTGCAGTTAGTTAGTGGGCTGCTGGTAGAAGCTGCTGCTCACCAGAGATAATCCTGGAGAATCCAGGTAGGGTAGAGGAAGTGGCGGTTGCCTGGCCCCCTGAGAGAGAGAGAGAGAGAGAGAGAGACAGACAGACAGAGAGACAGACAGAGACAGAGACAGAGAGACAGAGAGAGACAGAGAGAGAACACATAGAGCTTCTGAAGCCATCCCCTCTATCCATCCCTCCCCACCACCACCACCATCCCTGAAAGCCAAGCAGCAGAGCTTCAACCAGGAGAGAGCAGCGAGCTGCCAAGGCTGCTCTGGGGAGAGCTGCCGGTGCAGGGATGGCAGAATGGGTGCAGCTCTGATGAAGATACTCAATGCCTCCTTACGCTTCATCTCCCCCTTTGCCTGGTTAGACTCAGGGGCAGAGACCCACCCCATCCACTGAAGCACCAGGCGCTCCTAACAGGTAAAGAACCCTTGAACCCAGGATGGGACCCCCACAGACAAGGGGTTAGAGAGGGGCACCAACACTCCACAGCCTTCCCATAGGCTCTCAGGGTAACCATGACAGAAACCTGGCATGCCCAGCCTCTGTGACCCCAAGCTCCACTCCCCAAGAACTTTGGCGGCTCCCTGCACTGCCATCCTCCCAGTTCCCAATGTTCCAGGACGTTCCCTTTTCCCAGTACCCACAGTTCTAGACCATCTCAATCCTTTCCTGCCTGGACTCGGAACTAGCTGGGAATTTAAAGCCCACACCCCTCAGGTGTCAACCACAGGACCTTAAACCAGTCACTGACAGGTCCCACTTCTGAAAATGGGGATCTCACAAAACAAGGGAAGAAAGTCCCGAATACTTGATCTTAAATACAAAACTTACCAAGCAACAGCAGGAGGAATGGAGGGGGGAGGTAGGGGGATACAGGGTGGGAGGGAGATGAGGTGGGTTAGAAGTGACAGAGGGACAGTGGGGAGGATCTGAGGTGCTTTGGTGGTGGTAGGCTACAGTAACTATATCAAAATCATAAATGGCAACACTATTAAAATCATGTTGCCTAAGCTATATATACTTTTTAATTCTTTTTTTTTTCCTTTTGGGGCACACCCAGCAATGCACAGAGGTTACTCCTGGCTCATGCACTCAGGAATTACTCCCAGTGGTGCTCGGGGGACCATTTTGGGGTGCCAAAATGAACCCGGGGTCAGCTGCATGCAAGGCAAATGCCCTACCTGCTGTGCTATTGCTCCAGCCCCTATTTTTCAATTCTTTATGTTTGTTTTTGGGGGATTTCTCCTGGCTCTGTGCCCAGGGATTGGGGACTGTATGTGGTACTGGAGTTATACCAGGGTTGGCCCCAAAGCAAGGCAAGTGCCTTGCCCACTGTCCTATCTCTCCAGCTTCCAAATTAAAAAAAAATATTTTATTAAGTCAGAGATTAGTAGATTTTTCACAAGATCTATGAGAGAGAGAGAGAGAGAGAGAGAGAGAGAGAGAGAGAGAGAGGATCCCAAGATGGCTACTCCCCAAAGTTGCCATGAAGAGTCAATAGAGCAATGAATAGAAAACTGAAGTAGAGCGGTGCCTATTAAAAAGAGCAGTGCCCAATGCCTCTTTTGCAAACCACAACACCCAAAAGGAGAGAGAGAACAAAAGGGAATGCCCTGCCACAGAGGCAAGATGGGATGGGGGGAATGAGGGGTGGGAGAGATACTGGGACCCGTGGTGGTAGAAAATGAGCACTGGTGGAGCGATGGGTATTTGATCATTGTATAATTGAAATCCAAGCACAAAAATTTGTAATTCTACAACTGTACCTCATGGTGTTTCACTAATACAAATTTTTAATAAATAAATACATAAAAAGAGCAATGCCTGGCACATATGAGGCACTCATTTACAGTACCTGCACAGTCGCAGGCAACTGTGCACCTTGTTGGGTAAGTCGGCCTCATGACAAATGAGGAGATGAGGCTCTTGGGCGTGGAGCGGGAGAGTCTCTCCCTGAGCCGGACTGGCATTTGTTCCCCGACTCTGCCATGTAGACTGAACAGCATGACCTGCTTGGTTAGCTGATGTTTGATCTCTCCCCTCAGTCCATGGGACACACATGAGGGTACAAGGAGGCTTAAGTGGGCTCTGTGCCCCCAAATGGGCAGGGAAGTGGCAGGGTAAGAGAATGGACCACTCATCCAGGCCCAACCCTGGGCTTCCCAATCACTATCCTCATTCACGTGCTGGAAACTGAAGACAGAGAAGAGAACCAGCCACATCCCAGGAATCCATCACATGTGAAGGGATAGGCCCACTAGGCTGCACCAGGGAGAATGAGGCTGAGAGTCCCTGGAAATATCAGGGAAGGACCTGGGGAGCAGGAGATCTGTGAACTGAAATTTAAATTGAGATTGGAGGTGGGAGATTGGGGGAAGGGCTTGCCTGGCGGTCCAGGCTGAAAGTAGGCCTGAGCAGAGGCTCAGCAAGCACATTCAAGAGGAAGGCTGCCCCATGAGGACAGAAGTGAGAGGTAGCAGAGAACACAAAATAAGTCATGGCTGCCATGGAAATAAAGGGGGGCAGCTGACTTGCCATTTAAAGGAATATAGACAAAGGGTAAAGGATCTGCCCCAGGAATCTGCCTGCCTTGTATGTGTGAGGGCCCTGGGTTCCACCTTGGTGCGGCAGGATATATTTATACGCGTATATAACATGTTTAAAGTAAAAGACTTTGTTTTTGTTTGGGGGCCACAGCTGTGGGTTCTTAAAGGCTCCATGCTCTGGAGTGACTCCCCCCTGCCATACTCATGGGATAATATCCTTGCTAGGAGGTTGAACCAGGACTTCAGCTGCATGCAAATGCCTTACCTCCGGTACCGTGTACCCAGCCCCAAGCAGCCTCTTTGAGGCACATCTAAGAGGTAAAGAAGCACCAGAGGTAACTTCCTTATTTCAAGCGGAGAAAAGAGCAATGTTGAAGGTCTTGGGAACTCGAGGAGGCTGCCAAGTGGGTGATGTTCATCAGAAAGGCCTGTGGGTCCTGCCGCAGCCGGATGTGTGGTTGGACCTTTGCTAGGAGCGCAGGGAACCCTGTGGTCGGGGAGGGGGTCAAGGCGAGCCCTGCAGATTCTGCAGGGCCCTTAGCTCTCCATTAGATGAAATGGAGCGCCACAATCGGATTTCCCTGAGAGGAAAAAAACGGGATCTGACGTTTTAAAAGGATCCCTCTCGCTGCTGTGTGGCGGAATCAACTGCAGGGGGCCAAGGATGGAAGCCCGGAGACCCCCGTAAGGCGGCTAATGCAGAAATCCAGGAGAAAGAGGGCGGTGGCTGGAACCAAAGTGGTAAGGGAAGAGGTGTGCTTGCCCCCCCCCAAAAAAAATTAGAAAATAAAATGGGGGAGGGGGGATCGGAGCGTTAATACACTGGGTAAGGCGTTTGCCTTGCACCCACCCTCACCGGGGTCGATCCTTGGCACCGTGAGCACAGCCGGGTGTGGCTCAAAAACCAAAAACGGAATTTAGGATCCCCTGCCTGTTGCAGACCAACACCCCCCAAAAGCCCTGTATCCGGATGGAAGGTGGGGAACCCCCGGCCGCGCCACGTCAGCCTGCCCGACTGCGGGACTGCGTCGCGCGTGGGCGGCGGAGACCCCCCCCCCCCCCGGGTGCCCACAAGAACGCCGAGATCACGCGCGCCCCCGGGAAGGAGGCCGGGAAGGAAGGAGAACTTACTCCCCAGATCTGCGCTGGGGGTAGCAGGATGGGGAGCCGGTGCTCCCGATGCCCCGAGAGGGTCCTGAGCCCCCCGCCCCCAGCGCTCTGTGCGCCCCGGCATGCCACTCCGCGTATGCAGGTGTGGGCATGACGCGGGCATGACGCGGACAGCGCCACAGCACCCCCTCCGTGTAACTCTCGCTTTCGCCCTTCTAACCCCCTCCTTCCCTCTTCTCCCCGTTCTGACCCCTTTGTCTCGCTGGCCTCGACCCCCCCCCAAGTCAGTTCTGCACTGGGGGGTGCGGGGGGGCATCCGGGGCGCGCGGCCCCGCCGGGGTGCCTCTGGCGGTCGGCGGTCGGTGAGCAACGGCCCGGGGCTCCGGGCGCAGAAAATCATGAATGAAATGGAAGCGGGGCTCCCTCTCCCCCGCCCTCCCGGGCCAGGGAAGCTCGGCGCGGGCGCGGCGCCGGCGGGGACTCCGAGGGGAGAAGACGCCGGAGCTCAGGGTGAGGAGGGGAAGGTCCGGCGGCGCGGGCGCTCCCCGCCCCCCGCGCGCACCAGCCCCGCGGGCCCTGCGCAGCTCCCGGGGAGCGGGGCGGAGTCGGGGCTGAGGGTGCCCCAGAGCCCCGGCGGCGGCGGCGGCGGCGGCGGCGGCGACTGCGCCCGCCCCAGCCCCGGCGGCCGCGGGGAACTCGGGCCGGGGAGTGCGCACGGAGCGCGGGCCAGAGCGCCGGGGCAGACGCACCGACGGACCGACGAACGGACGGACGGACGCCCCCGCACACGCAGACGCACGGAGCTCGGCGCGGCCCCCGCGCGCGCACACACACACGCACATACACACACGCTCGCGCACACACACGCACACACCCATACACCCACGCACACACGGGGCGCACGCATACACGGGGCGCACGCACACGGAGACACGCGCCCCCTCCTCCCGCCGGCCTGCCCGCCCGCTCCCAGGCGCCGGGAGCCCGCTCTGGCCGGTAAGTGCGGCGCCTGCCGTGGGCGCTTTTGCTTGCCGGGAGCCCGAAGGCCGGCGGGGCGCGCGGTGCATCCCCCTCCCCGGGTAGCAGCGGACACCCCGCTCCAGCCCTCGGGGCCGGGAAGCCAGCGCCCGCCCCCGCCACGCCCCCACGGGGCTACCGGGCGCCCCGGGACGCGGGGAAAGGGGCTCCGGGAGCGGGATCGCGGGGTGCGAGTTCCCCCACCCACCCATCCACTCATCCCTCGAGCTGGCCCGGTGGGGGAGCGGAATCCGGGTTGGGGGTCCCGGGTCGGAGCTGCGCGGCTTGTCAGCTGCGTAGCGGCTCCCGGCGCCGAGGCTCCGAAGGGAGGTCGCCCTGTTCGGCCTGTAAAATGTGGCTCCCAGCCATCCCCGGCGGTGTAAGCCTAAAAGCACCCGCTTCACATCCACCCTCAAAATCCAAGCCCCCCGGGGAGTTGGGGGGGGGGGGTGTTTCATGCCCAGGCAGCCTCGTTTCCATTGCAGAGGCCTTGGCTCAAAGCAAAATCTAGACATGGCCTGGGTCAGAATCCTAAGGGTAAGCTTAGGGGAGCAGTACCAGAGGAACCGTGGGAACTCATGCGGTCCCCTCATTTCACAGACAGAGAAACTGAGGCCTGGGTGAGGCGGTCGCCAAGGTCACTGCAAAGTTAGTGGACAGACCCTGCGTTTGAAGCTCGAGTGCCTAGCTTTCATACTTAACGTCCACCGCTCGCCTGGCATCGTTGGATCCCTGAGCACCCCCCCACTTCCTCCATCCCCCAAACCCCAGAATCCAGAATTTCACCCTAGAATTCAGGAAAGCCCACCATCCCAGCCTTGCCTGCACTGGAGCTGCAAGTGCCTTTCAATTGCTAGGGTACCTATTGTTTAGGGAGGGGAAGGGGTAAAATAAATAAATAAGTGGGTCTTTAATTTGCTCTTTAGCCTGAAAAGAGGGCTCTCTTATGCAAGCACTCCAGGTCTGAGATTTAGTTTGGGAGACGGGAAGCATCCCCAGAACGAAGACCAGATTCCAGGGTGCTCCAAGACTTCTCTGCCTGCATCTTCAGACCAGTTGGTTTGGCCTTCAGAGACTCCTCGTGGACCGCTTTTCCCCACTGTGACCCAACCTTAAACCCTCCCAGGTGATTTTCTGTCTCCTCCAGGCCTAGGCCTTCTCTCCCAGCTTGACTTCTTTCCTCATCAGTGTGCGAGTGCCCCAGTCCTTGGCTTCCAGCCTCCCGCCTCCCCCTTTCTCCTTGATGTTGGTGGAGAGTGACCTCTGGCCCTTGCTGACAAAGCTGTCAGGGAGCTTGAGTTACATACAGCCCCCACAGGGCTCAAATGGAGGCTTAGCACACAGCTCCCTCAAGGACAGCTAGATGACCCCAGAGCCAAGCAGGATGCCTGCCTGGGTCAGAGAGGGTTCCCTGAAGGGTGGGTTGAAGGAGAGCTAGCTGCCTGGGGAGCGAGTAAGGTCAGATTTGCCTTGGAGAAGAGTGGGATCTGGGGTCCTTTGCTCTCTAGGGGACCAGAGGCCCTTAGCTCTTTGAAATGGGTGAGTAAGCTAGATGGGAGAGAGCAAGCGTGGCTACGTGGCATTATCTCAGGGTGGCCCCTATAAATGACACAGCTCCAGGCCTGCCCTTTGCACAGACTTCACAGTAAGTGGTGGTCCCTGAGTCTTTGCAGTGTGTGGGGTGCTGTCCTCCCTGAGACCCGGGACCCTTCTCGTGGTTTCCACAGCTTCGGTAAATGCTCAACAACCTCCTTGGGTCTTTGTTTCTCTAGCCAGAAAATAAGAGCTTCGGGCTGGAGATTGTCAGGATGTTTCTCACTTCTGAACAGGTTGGGGGCGGGGAGGGAGCACTTATTTATGTAACTGCAAAAGGCCTGCTTTCCCCTTCTATGAATGTGTGGGAATAAGATGAGATCATTTATGTGAGGGTACTTGCACTGTGCCTGAGGCGGAAGAAATGCTTGGGAATTGGTTGCTGTTGATACAGTTAAAGCCCTAGCTTTATGACTATTCCTCCCATTTGCTTCTTTGTTCAAAGTGCCCACTGATGTGGGGTTTTTAGACCCTCAAGGTCCTGCTACTTCAAAAACAATTTCTCCCTCTTTTTGCTGACCTGTTCCTGGAAACCTCCCTGGGAGAAATGGTCCTTTATCAAGCTCTTTTGCTCCTAAGCATGATGGTGTTTAATAAGTTATATGGTATCAAAGCATTTCTTACGCCCTATCCTTTGTACTTGGCCCCTGGAGCATACCTGTGACATCAATAGGCATTATGATTCTTATTCCGTAGGTAGGGAAGCTAACACTTAGAGTTAAATTTAACTAAGGATGTGTATGGACAAAATCTTAGGACCACAGTTTGCTTCCAGCTGGGATCATCTGACTCCAGATGACGAATTCTTCTTCATGCCAAACTGCTTTGTTCTTCCCTCAAGATCTGCCTTCACAGAGAGACAGATAACGACTTGAACAGAATTGAGAAGAAGAGGGCATCTTATTCTGCTGGAAGATTAGAAATGGCTTCTTGGAGGATTTAGGTAGTCTCAGAACCCCCAGTTGATATGAATTACTTGATAGAAGAAAAGAGGGGAAACATCCCAAGGAGTGGGAACAACCAACTGATATCAGGACTTTTAGGGCTGGATAGAAACTGAAAAGTGACTTTTTCTAACTAAACAAAAAAGAAAAGAAGAGTGGTGGAAACGAAGCTGCAGAACAGGATGGAGACAGTTGCTGGGGCTGAATTGAGGGTGAAGCTAAGTTTTTGAACAGGAGCAGGGAAAGATATGATCAAACCTGGCCATGAGGAAACTTGTTCTGGCAGCCCAGGGAGAACAGATTGGAGCTGGCTGGCAGGGAGCCTGGGTAGGAGATGATGGCAATGGTCTTGATGAGAGATAAGGGGGATCTGGTCTGGGCCGGGGGTGGCTGTAAGAGTGAAGAGGAAAGGAGGTCTGAGGTGGGAGGCTACCATGTCACCAAAATTGGCTGCTGATGGGATGTGAGTGTCAGAGGAAGGGAGGAATGAGAAGTGATCCCAAGGGATTGTGCCTGTGTATGTCTAAGGATGCCGTTCACAGAGTCCAGCAGGAGAGGGAGTAGGCTTCTGAGTGGTCTCAGGTGGTAAATTATAATGAATCTTCTTGTAGGATCCTGGCTCTCAAAAGCTAGTTTGCTCATTCATTCATTCATTCATTCACTCTCCAAAGATGTATAAGCAACGTTTGCGCAAAGCTGGGTTCTTCTAGGCTTTGGGGAGATGTTGCTGAAAAAATAATAAATAACTGCTTGCCCGGAGTGTACCAGGAAAGACAGAAAAGACAACATGATCAGACACAGTATTTAAAGGGGTGAGAAGCAAAAGTGAGGGTGAATCTCATGGGAAGTATGCTTTTAAATGGAATTGTCTTTGAGAAAGTGATATTTGAATAAGGAGTAACTGTTGAAGAAGACCTGAGAATAGCATGCATTCCTTCCCAGAATTCCTACCACAAGTGCAAAGGCCCTGGGGTCAGCTTGTTGTTTTCAGGGAATAGCTTGCTGCTTTAAAAGAAAAAGAAGAAGGGTAGTAAGAATGATGAGAGAGAATCAGCCAGATCATGGGGTGCAAACTTGAGGACAAAGTTTGACTCACTGTGTTGTGTCAAGGAGAACCTGGGTACTAACTAGTCTTGCACTCTCTTTGCCTAGTAAACCCGGGATGACATTCATTAAGCAGTGGCGCTCTACAGAGTTAAATAAATGTGGAAAGCCACCATTTGTGTACAAAACAGCATATCTTGGACTAATAAGAATGCATAAATAAAGATACTGTGGCATAGTAAACTGTAGTGTGATCAGAATGATAAAGCTCAGATATTGGAATGTCTGTGTTGTCATTTAGATGTGAATATTTGTGTCAAATCTGCATATTTTATTCACTATGGCTTGATACTATAAACACTGCTGTTGACTAAGCCTAAATAGTAAAACATACCTGAAATGACTGCAAAACAATTAAAAAGAGAATATTTATGGTCTTCCCTTCCCCGCTTCCAGTGTTAATGCATAGTCTTCTGGCGTCATTTCAAATTCCCCTTGTGCAACCCTTTCCTTCCCGGCCATTTCCCTCAAAGAGATTTCAGAAAAGCTCATATCTAGCACAAAAGCACAAAGGCCCTTGCGTGCATGACAAAGGTAAAAATCATCATTTCCGGATATTGAAATATTTCCAAAAAGACAGGGAAGTAGGAGGGAGACATTATTTAGAGAAATATAAAATCTTATAGGCACTTAATTGTTTAAATAGGATCTACTAGGGGGAATGGAAAGTCGCCAGAAGATGGCTTCATCATTGAAAGCGTTTGTCTGCAATAAGTTGAACACAGAGGATAGGGGAGCTTTCCAAAACGCCTGGCACTCTTCATCAAAAAGTTTACCCACTTACCTGGAAATATATATGAACAAATAGTCTTCTGGCCAGTGTGGGTTAGTCTAGCCATTATTAATTTCTGT